TTTTATAATGTGTTTTTAAACTTTCAAATTTAATTATAAAATGGAGTAAGTCAGGTACAATACTGCCCCTAAAGAATGATAATCCTGCTGCGCCATCTGCTGGTGACTCGCAGAATTAAAAGCAATGCTAATGCTCCTAGTTTAAGATAACCATGACAATATATGAGATACAATAATTGAGTAGGCATGGAAATTTTTTTACGGCAAAATTTAAATTAATAGGATATATGTATTACAAAATATACCTTCAAAACTGCTTCTCCAATTATTATTTAAAATATTTCCGATAATAATTGTATAATTACATTAATTGATAAATATTAATTATTTCTTAAATAATTTTATTCTTTAATTCATTTTTTTAAACTATATTTTAAAACATAATCTTCACATAAGTGATTAAGTAATTTTCCCAATTACTATTTTTAAAAATTGTTAATAACAATTAGTTTATCATTTGACTGCTACTAATTCTTTACTAATGTCAAGTGCGAATAACATACCAAGAGCATGATGAATACCAAGGATGGTATTCATGCATCCTCCTTCGTATGCAAAATAACTCGCATATCATCTTACTCGATGTAAATACGTTCGCATATCCGTGATTTCGCGAGTGTGTAAATGGGGAAAATATGCCAACAAATGGAGAGGTACTAAATTCAATGCGGAAATCACTAACCTGTAGGACGAGAACAACAGAATCCACTGTTGGCAAGTCGAGAAGTATTAACTTCAGGGGAACAAGTAGGATACGATGAACACATCTACAGTAGATAAGTCACACGTTTAAGGTACCATGTCTAAGCTGAAGGTAACGCAATTCAAAGATAATCCGATGATAACGCGATACCAACCTAAACCGAAAGTAAAGCGGGTTCAAGCAACTCCGATGGTAAAACGTTTTCCAGCTTCTCCGATGGTAAAACGTTTTCAAGCTACTCCTATGGTAAAACGTGTTCAACTTACTCCTATGGTAAAAACGTGTTCCACTTACTCCGATGATAAAACGTTTTCGAGCTACTCCGAAGGTAAAACGGTTTCAAGATACTCCGATGGTAAAGCGGTTTCAACGTAATCGTATGATAAAGCGGTGTCAACTTACTCAGATGGTAAAAGGCGGTTCCAAGCAACTCTGATGGTAAGAGACGGTTCCAAGTAACTCCGATGGTAAGAGACGGTTCCGAGCTACTCCGATGGTAAAACGTTCACTAGCTACTCCTATGGTAAAGCAGTTTCAACGTACTCCAATGGTAAAAGCCGTTTCCCAGCTACTCCGATGGTAAAACGTTCTCTAGCTACTCCTATGGTAAAACAGTTTCAACGTACTCCAATGGTAAAAGACGTTTCCAAGTCACTCCGATGGTAAGAGACGTTTCCAAGTCACTCCGATGGTAAGAGACGGTTCCAAGTAACTCCGATGGTAAAGCGTTCTCGAGCTGCTACTCCGATGATAAAACGTTTTCAAGCTACTCCTATGGTAAAACGTGTTCAACTTATTCCGATGGTAAAACGTTTTCGACCTACTCCGAAGGTAAAACGGTTTCAAGCTACTCCGATGGTAAAGCGGTGTCAACGTACTCAGATGGTAAAGCGGTGTCAACGTACTCAGATGGTAAAAGACGGTTACACGATACTCGCATGGTAGAGCCATTGCAAGATACTCGGATGATAAAGCGGTTACAAGATACTCTGATGGAAAAGCGGTTTCATGAGCTCCGATGGTAAAGCATTTTCAAGATAATCTGATTTCGTAAAGCAGTTTCACGATAACCCGATGGTAACGTGGTTCTACAATATTCTTATGGTAACGTGGTATAGTATTGAAGAAAAGTTACGGTAACAGATTTGTTTCATTTTATAAATTACATGGGATGATACGTACATACAGTATCTTATTTGTAGCTACAAAGCAGTTAAAATATTTATTAGTAAAGTTAAAGAAGTTCAATCAATAAGAACACATTACCATATGTCGGTAATATAGAAAATGAAAGTAGTCGCAGAAAAATTATCAGCAGATCTACATGTACACTTATACACAAAAATTAATTTGAACTTCAACTAATTACATTCGAATAAGACAACCTATTACTGTTGCCATTTCAATGTACTTTCAATAAGTTAAAAAAGCAATGTAACTCTTAACAAAACTGTGGGAGTGCAGAATATTGACGAAATATTAAAAATAAAACAGAGAAGAAGTATATTAATCACTTCGATTCCGTCATTATTCAATGGCTACCGTGCATTTGTTATTTAACGTAACACTGACTCAATTGTAGTAATATTGATACTCTTTAAAACGATCAAATTACTTTCATTTGAATACAAAGATACACGTTGTAAATGTCAGACAGAATTGGAAAGTAATAATATTCCATTATTAGTTATGCTATGAATTACAATCAATGCAAGAGCAATTTATGTAACCTGCACTTTGTTTCATGGATTCGAAACATGGACCTTGACTGTGATAAAAAATAAATGCTTCTATCGGCGACATGAACGATATCAGAAAAACATTTTAAGCATGAATGGATGGGTTATCTCATGAGCAGACACGTGCACCATTTTCCACTGAATTTCGATAATATATATAGCGAACCTGTGTATCGAAGTACAAATACGTGATTTTCTCTGAATACTTTTATCTACCCTCCTTAAATACACTTTACCTATATTCACTGCTATCATTCACTGCATGCTTCATTTAAAATTTCATAGCGTCACAACACCATGAGAACGGTATAATACTTCAGAGAGTATTTATAATACAAATAAATTCACCTCTCGTGCATTAAGCTTCTCTATTATGCGAGACACTCGAAACAAATTTGCTTGCGATCCAATGCAATCTGGCGTGGCAAAATTATACGAAATTCGAAAATAACTAAATTTGCCAAAGGAACATAATCATTTCTAAGCTATACGTAAACTCACATATATTATACAGCGAATCTGAAACAACCGTGAAAAGGTACAAAGCGTAACTCATTGCTAGTCGAAGTGTTTGCTTCTTAAAAAGGGTACCATAAATTTTCTACCTCTAACTGTAATCATTTTTAAACAGTATTAACCCTTTGCACTCGAGAGGCACCTTTCAGTCGCCATTTGATAGAATTTCGGAGCTCGAAACTGGAATTAAACCCACAAAAACCCTTCCAAGTGACAAGAACAACGCTGCGCCATCTAGGACGAAAAATTTTCTTCCATAAGGCTGATGATATTTTTTGAGCAGTAAATAAAAAATCGTATAATAATTAACACGTTGAATTATTCAATTTCTATACCTAGCACACTGCTACATTATTTTAAATTTGATATATTAATTAATATCGAGCTTTGAAATTTTATTAAATGGTGATTTAGAGGCACCTCTCGAGTGCAAAGGGCTAACAGAACGCACCTGTACTTAATTACAAATTGCAAATATTTGTGCAATAACTAAGATGCATTGTTCTTTCATGCAGCGCTCTATTTCTGAGAACCCTGAACTGTCAACTGTCATTCTATCATTTCCTTTTTGTCAGTGACACTTCATCGTGCAAATGGAGCAAAACTCAAATCATGCGCAAATTTTCGGACACTCTATAGTTCCTTACCGATACAAAACGTTTCGAGAATATCCATTACACCTAATAGGATATAAACAAGTATAAACAAATCGAAGTGGTCAAGTGAACACGCTGCAAATGTTAATCTTACACGTGCAAAATCTAGAAAAATATTTTATACGATTCCTGGAAACTTGAGAAGTTATATCTATAAATATTGGAAATTAGCCTCGAACGATAAATATACTGTTTTACGTCAATCATCCTATCGTCCACACATGTTGACTGCTACGTAACTTCTCACGATGTCGGTCTAAGAAGCCAATTTGATTTAATCATGTTATATTATTCAAAACTTTATTTATAGTACATAATAACCCTTTACACTCGAGAGGAGCCTCAGTCACCATTTAATCAGATTCTAAAGATCGACGTTAATTAATTTATCAAATTCACAATTATTCAACAATGCTTGGAATATCGAAGTAAAATAATTCTACGTCTTAATTTTCATACGATTTCTAATTTACCATTTTAAAAATATCGTTCACTCTATGACAGAAAGTCTTCGAATTATTATTTTTCTCTAACGAAAAAGTCGTAGAATGCAAAGGGATAATAATCAAAAATCTCAAAAAAATGTTCCTCTTTTATTAAGAAAACATGTTACAAATTATCTCGTAGTTGGCGCACAATATTGTTTTAAAAATTATCAGAAACCAAACAAATGTTATTCTGCGTGAATAAACTTGTATAAACTTTTTCTCTTCGAATAAACTTTGTGTAATTGTATTTTTTGTTCCATTTAGGCCAAATCGCATTTAGTATGGCAAATAATAAAGGGACGAAATAACTAGTAGTAGGTGTCCTGGGCAAGTAAACAATCTACGACGTATCTCGTAGTTGACAGGTCAACGTGTTAACCTTTTGCACTCGAGAAGTGAGCTTCAGTCACTGTTTCATAAAATATGGAAGATCGATGTTAATTAATATATCAAATTTAATGTAATATAACAGTGTGGGAAGTATCGAAATCAAATAATTCTATAATTCTATTATTATACAATTTTGTATTTACTTCTCAAAAAAGTGTTGTCAGTTTTTTAGTAGAGAATCTTTGAATTTCTACTATTCTCTAGCCAAAAGTAGTCGAGTGCAAAGGATTAATACGTATTTCGGTAAAAAGAACGATAATGAACGAAATTCGTAGGAAAAATGAATATACGATTATTAACCCTGGTGAATCATAATATTTTTCCCATACCTGTCACGTTGAAGGCATTTATCTCGACAAGTGAAAATACCGTGAAAATATTTATATACGTGTGTGGTCGTTGAATAAATACACACAGAGATAATAGGATTATCTGATACATCGTTCGTTCATCTTCATCAAAAACCCCTACCATTGCCACTGCAAACTATATAAGGTCTATTGAATAACCTGGGACCATAGTAGATACCGAACTCGACTGCGATAATTTTACGTTACGATATCAGTACTCATTTGCGTCGACATAATGAGCTGCAAAAGTGTCACGTTCCTTTTGGTCGTTCTCTGTTGCTTGTCCACGATATATTATGTATCGGGTGAAATAGGTCCAGGTATGTAACTCTATTACCTTTGTTAGTATCTTATTAGATAATTAGTCAATTTGCATTCAGATTTCCTTTGTAGAATATTTTTGGTAATGACTGACAGTCTTCAATTTCTGGATATTTGAATATTTTCAAATTTCTTCATGGAATAGTTTATGTCAGGAAGTCGTATGTAATATAATATGTAATATAATAATAAAATGTTAATTATCCCTTTGCTGACGATATTTTTTGGGCAAGAAATAAGGCATCGTATAATAATTAACACGTACAATTATTTAATTTCGATACCTCTTACGTCGTTACATTATCATAAATTTGACATATTAATTAATATCGATCTTCGAAATTTTATCACATCGCGACTGAAGGGCTCCTCTCGAGTGCAAAGGGTTAATGCATTTATACAGCATATGATTGAAGAATAGGTGATGAAATTTCGATTTTGAAAAATATTCAACTGGCGGATATTTAAATAATTACAATCACCTATTTTTAAAAAGATATTTGTAATATATATAAGAGTGGTTTAATAAAAATGTTCGAAATATTCTTGAATCGAATTGAAAATGTTTTGTAGATAAATATAGAACGGTCACACTTGTGATACAGCTAATTGTTAGGTCGATAAGGATTGTGATCCAAAATAATTGATAATACCTATATACGTAAGAATGACTGTCTAAAATAATATTTTCAAAATAATGATAAACGAGAACCTTGAGAAGTTAATGCTTTTCACTCGAGGGGGGGGGGGGCCTCTCAGTCGCCATTTAATCTGATTCTAAGATGGATATTAATTAACATATCGAATTCACAATTACTCAACAATGCTTGGAATATCGAAGTAAAATAATTCTACGTCATAATTTGCTAATGACTTCTAATTTACCGTTTTAGAAATATCGTCGACGTCATGACAAATTATTATTATTATTATTATTATTATTTTACCGTTTTAGAAATATCGTCGACTTTATGACGAATTATTATTATTTTCCCGTAACGAAAAGATCGCCGAGTGCAAAGGGTTAATTCATAAAAAACAACTATTATACGACGTATTATTGCTCATAATTGCAGTAGTAAATCAACAGCCCTAAATATTTTATTGGCAACATCAAAGTGCTTCGAAACTTCTCTTCATGCAGTCGAATTTGTAACATTCTACAACATTATACTACTAATTAATTCACAATCAAATTTACAAAAATAATTTTATTAATAGCAATTTGTTATTAATTATATTATAATTAATTCATAATATTATTGTGTCGTTGTATCGTAGATTATTATAGATTATTTTTGAAAGATTATTTTCATCCATAAAATCTGTTCATCTATAGCTGTCGTTTGTTGAAATCATATGATCGATGTCACCTTAGATTTCCAAAGCTGTCTAAAGAATGCTTAAGAATTCAAAGTCCTCGTTACTACGCATTACTTCGTGCAAACTGATATTGCCTTTCCGTTTTTTCTCTTCTTTTTTTCCTTTTTTTATCACTGAACATGCTTCCATAAACTTGGTCTATTTTTGTAATAACCTCTGTAACTTCCCTAAGACAGTGCAACTAATGTATGCAACGCTGATAACTTGTTTACGCTATTTCATGTGTCGCAATGCAATAATTTTTATACTGCATTGATAAACACGTACAGTATTAACATTGTTACATTCGAATAGCTCTTATTATTTACAGGAAATAAAAAATAATAATAGGAATAATAAAGGAATTTATAAAAAGGTTTGCAGATCGTAATCATGAGTCGTGACTCATAAGAGTAATTCGAGGCAAAACATGACATATTATCTTTAGACGATTATTCACGAGAAATGATTCAAAATCGAGTGACTAAATTTTAAAAATATAGAAGTAAACCATTTTCGTAATTATTACGATGTTACAAATTGTATGATATTTAACTTATTTTTAACAACACTGAATAATACTTAATTTTTAACAAGACTTTGCAATTATCTTGAGAAATGATTAAAACTTGATTCAATTAATATCCATCAGTCGATATTTTATAATGAGAAATATACCAGCTTAGCTAAATATACGAATATTTTTCTAATTAGGAATTACATGTTAAATGATCATAGCTGATATATCCAATTTTTAATAATACTTTGCGATCATTGACAGAATGTCTCCTACCATTGGAAAGTGGTCCATGCAAGGCTATGATACCAAGGTACGGATACAATCCAGCCACGAATCAATGCGAAGAATTTATTTATGGAGGTTGTCGAGGGAACACGAATAACTTCAGAAGCATGGACTTGTGCCTGGAGAGCTGTTCATAAACACCAACAGTGCGTTATGCGATCAAAGTATATTGTTTAAAGTAGATTAAATCGTACACACGATACCGTTGTAAACATGCATACCTGACTCAAAGAATTGCATGCTTCCTCATCCAGCTCTCTGTTAAATCGAGTAGGGCTGTATAATTGTATTAAAATCACAAAGCAAAAATGCAAATTATGTTGAACATATCTATCTATCTGCGAGGGGATATTTATTTGTATTTATAGACAGCACGAAATTTAATTGAATAAAAGACGACAAAAAATTTGTCAATTAATTTCTGTGTTGAAAATATGTATGTACCGTATGAAATAAAGTTCTTTATTTGTACATAATAACCTTTTTTGTAAAAATTAAACGAATTGCTTTTAGTATAAATTATCATTAGTAGCTCGATATTACGTAAATCTTGAATATTTCACGATGGTAAATTTATCAGAATAGTCGGATAATTTATTTCAAATAAATTATAAAAGCATCGATTATATAAGATAAACATCGTTCATATTTATCATTCATAAATTTGCAAACGAAAGTAGTAAACAGTTTTGACAGTTTACACGAAGTTCATTATTTATCGCGATTCAACTTGACGCAGAGAAAGAGATTAATAGTGCTTAGCAAAAATAAGAGAGACTTCTTTTCTGTCTCTCTTGACTATTCGCTTTTTCCATTTTCTTAAAAGTATAGGAATAATACCGTCGTTATCGGTTTAAAATATTACCAAGACCATTTGCCCATGCAACATTCATTTATTATTATTGCTCAGAGAATTATTGAACATGATTGATTTATTACATCATTAGATCGAATATTTGGTATACAATTTGCCAAATTTATTTACATACTTAAATTTTTAATGCTAATTGCGAGTACTACATCGAACACAGATTATTCATCGGCAGTAATAGAGAAATAAATATTCATACATATATGGAATAATAATCTGTGTAACTGGAGCAATAAAGGAAAGTTCACCTTTCCATTTGCAAATTCGTTATTTCTTCTGAAAGGTATAGAATCGTATGAAAACTTTTTGATACGACTCCGCTGAAGATTAATCATAATTACTGTTACATAAGTTCCGTTTGAAAAACTTTCTTCTGACGTGCATATTTCGATAAAAGATTGAACTTTCGTACTACAGAAATATAAAAAGAGGGAATGGAACTTCAGAGGGTTGGATAACACTGCTGAACGAACGAATCCCCCTTAACAAGCATAGGATTAAAAGTAACTTCTCTCGCTAAGTGACGTTTACCTTTCTTGCCTGACAAATTGTGTAACAATTACCACGCACCTCCATTATTATTCACATTTGTTCGAAACGCTGCAACATTTATCCTAACGAAGTATCATACGACTTTTTCGTTACAGAAAAATAGTAATTCGAAGACTCTGTCACAGAGTCGACGAAATTTTTTAAATGGTAAACGAGAAATCGTATGCAAATTAATACATAGAATTATTTTTCTTCGACATTTCACACATTTAATTAGGTAATTTTATATTTGATATATTAATCAACGTCGATCTTTAGAATTTGATTAAATGGTGACTGAGAGTCACCTCTCGAGTGCAAAGGGTTAAGAATATACCGATACAATTTAATAAAATTGTCAACAAATTATCCAAAGTATGAAAAGAGGTTGTGATTTCCTATTTCCCTCCATTTATTTAAATCACTCGAACATTCGTCCCAATAAATAACCATACGACATAGGAAATTGCTTAAGAATATTCTCATAAAATTGAATAAAATTGTCAACGAGTTACCCAAAGCATGAAAAGAGATCGTGAGCAGTGATTACCGTCACGTTTCTTCGTAAGAGATGACACAGAGCATCAGCTATAACCCTGGAGTGGAAACAGAAATTAAAAGCAGAACTCTGTACGACTTGATAGCAAGCATCTATAAATTAGTAGATAAAATCGCACGCACTTTCGAAGCAACGTGCACGTAAGATCGAGGTGTTTCCGACTGCTCATTTTGAGTGACAGTACCCTCTCGCGTTCACGGCTTGTCGCAGTTGCGATCGTTGGAAAGTCCGGAGCCGGTGATCCAAAGAATAGTCGCAAGTGCATGTACGTGTAATATCGTCCGGCTGTTATGCGTGTTCTGTTTGTTGAACTGGAACCGTACGTGTCGCCAGTGATCCCGGCTTCCACTCATGCTTAAAATTATCCAATTTCTCTATTATCGTCGAAGCCGGAATACGTGCGTGCCACGGCTATGCTTATTACTTGCCACACCTTAGCCGAAGAAAATACTTTAACGACCCGAACGCCGAACTACCATACCCAAGGTGCTTATACGTTCGTAACTCGTGTGACAGAGGTCGTGCATCACCGTTCCGCTGGCCTTTTTCAGTCGGCCACGTGATACTTTATATTGCGTTGTTTGGTTAGCTCGACACGGATCTACGACCACTTCCACGATTTTTTATTATTTTATTATTGTAGTATCGCAGGACTTCCACCTCGTGTATAGGTCACTTTAGCTTAGAAAATCGTCGAGGGTTCGAGGACCAGGTCGGTTGGAAAAACCTCATATTTGGTCATGATGGAGGAGGCTTTTGGAAAACGTGCCCAGGTTGGGGTAGATATAAAAGAAGGCTAAAGTGGTTAGCGAACAGTTCTTGGGACGAGTGATTGGAAGAGAGTCTTAGGAGTGATCAGAACAGAGTTGTGTAGACAGGGGTTATTAGTTGTTTAGTTGTATTTAAGTTGTGAACCATTACTTGTAACTGGCTAAGTTGTCATTGTATTGTTGAATTGAGTTGTAGTCGATATAGATTCGTATGCTTAATCGTCACCACATATTGTGTTGTGAATCTATTATTATTATTCTTACTATTAAATAAATAGTCCGTATTTACCACCACCCAAGTCTCTACGTTATTGTTTCTCAGTAAATATCGTTTTCAATACAGCAAACAATTTTTTTGAGAATATAACTTGTCCTAAAGTTATCACTGTTCCTTTATTATCCACGAACATAATTTTTACAATGGATTTTGGGTCTTTGCGAAATTTTTGACTTCCTCGTACCTCTATGCAGACGCAAATTATTCTCCACTAACGTACTCAAGCGTAATTATGTGCACGATTTCGTAAGGATTATTTTTAACAATCACGAAGAGATTCCACTTTTATTCTACTCTCGCCATTCGATTAAAAGACTAGCGTTTCAATCCTGCCAGTCTGCGAACCATCGACATTTTCCCAATACCTGATCATCACAGCAGAATTCACCGTAAGATCAATGTGTAGTTCGTTGAATTAGTATCTCTGCTAGGTACGTGCAACCATGTCGAATCTTAACAACCCCGTGTCTCGTTCATCCATCAAAGTTACTTGTTCGAGTGCACAACCGTACACGACGAAGTCCCGCTAACGATTAGATTGAATTAGGTTGGAAGTGAGATCCATTACCGCTCATTGCCTCCTGCGCTAGCCACGGGATACGGGCCTGTTTATGCAAACGGAAGATCGACGATATGCGGTATTTGGAAGGCGGACAACACATTTATCTTATTGGATTTACAGCCTTGTCTAGCAAATAATCGATGTAATTTAATAACTGCTCGTTGCGTTGCAACCGAGTAAAAATAATCGCACGAATCACCGAGTAATTTAATTACCATTGCTTCCGGGGTATACTCCTTATCGTTGGATAATTAAGAATACTTAAATTTAGAATTTTTGCACGGTGATATTAAATTACGTCGAATGTTTCGAACAAATTTTTCACTCGTGGAAAAATAATTATTACAATTCCTTAATTTAATTTTAATTTAATTCTAATTTAATTTCTGATGCAAATACTATATCCAGTTGCTTCAAAGAAAAGGTATAACGATGAAATTGAAACGAGAGAGAAAAGGAAAATAAAAATTTCAAATGAAGAATTAGTATTATTTAATTTAGATATTAATATTATTTACAAATATAGTGGGAGAACGTGTCTCGTGTAATCGAGGCCAGGGTCGCGTACAGGTCAATTGGCTGACACTTAAATTACTTCAATTTTGAAAATCTGCTATTGGAATCTGATGTTATTATTATACATTATATGTTATATTATTAGATATTAAAGTAGGCCAAGTGGGCGGAGATAAATTAGCAAATGATTTGCTGTTGTATCTTCTAAGATAGTAATTGGAGGTTGCAGCCATCGCCCACTATGGTGCTCGTGGGGGTGAGCTACGAGGAGCCTTGTAAGAGGACAGAACCTAAGCGTTCACACGACTAACGGGCACGTTAATTGTTGCGGATCTCACGTGCTTCAGGTTTATGATACCTTAACGCTTTATTGACCGGCCAAACCAATTGGTGTCCTAACTGAAGCTTAGGTTATCTCCTAGAAACGCCTATCAGCACCACATAGATGATAATCATATCGCGACGTGCACTCACTTAAAGCGTTTCGAGTATCCAAGAGGAAGTGCACAGGTGCAATTTTCTAGAAATTATACAGTGTTTAAAATGTCACACGCAAATTTAAAATATCTTCACTCGATTAAGGATAATTTAAATTAATTTAAAATATAAATGGATTTTCCCGTTCATGAAAAATACTCGGGTAAAATGTTCATTTCTATCATTTGTAATCAAAGTTTAATTATCTAAATTAAAAATTTCAATTATTCGACTTTAAAGGAACTATGACGTATTTTGATTTGACAGATTTCAAAATATACTTTAAAATATGTTATGAATAATTCATTACAGAGATATTTGGTTAACCTACAATAAGCAATACGTAGTTCACTCATGGACAAATATCTCCGATATTTCTGTGAATTTTATAATTTCTTCTCATGACATTCACCATCCTTTGATATGTTTGTGTAAAATACATAAAGTACCAATCTATACATGGCTAATAAAAATATCGTTTCCTTACGAAACTCGAGGGAAAAATTAATATTATCAGGGGAATAATCATACTATACATTTTCGAAATTTCCCAGTAAATGCTTTTTAAGTAATAGTTATACGATTTCTTTAGAGAAATTGAATTCGACGTTTCACCACGTCGAACGGTGATGCTGTTACGCGCTTTATGAAATTAACCCGTGAACAGACTGACGGATGTTATCGTGGCGTGTAACGTCGCGACGGCCATTGTGTTAACCTGCCCCCATTTACCGATCTT